AAAAACGCAACGTATCGTGGCCGTACATGCGTAAATGCATCTTACCGTCCGTCGGCACGGGTGAGTACTGATGCCACAAATAAAAATGTTATGGATTTTGTTTTGACAAATTGTCTGTTTTGGCTTCGTGGGCAAATCATCTCGTATATTTTCTACATTATAACTCAATTATGTTTTGTACTTGCTCTTGGTTACTCGAATTGCATTTCATGAACGCAGAATAATTTGCGAACGCATAAATCACCGATTTCCAACTTTTTGCATTTCGTAAATATTGATAGTGACCAATCTGTATTTCAAAAAATTGTAACATGTTCCAATTAAATTAAATTAAAAAGAGAATAGTAAATAACTTAGTGTGTATTGCAGTTCATGTCATAAATGTGAGAATGCTGTATGCAAATGATATGCAAATTAATATGCAAATTTATGCTAATTAGGCCGCCCACCAGCTAATTTGGATTGTGGAGAACACTGAATAGTAAACTTGCAAGTAGCATTCTAGTGCAGTAAACTTTGTTCTATCTGATGCAATAGGTAATTTTGTTCTCATGCAACATGGCATCAGTGTTCTCCCCAGAAATTTTTCATAGAGTCGTGGCTAATTTGCATAATAATTAGCATAAATTAACATATTGTTTGTCATATGAGGAACTAAAACAAAACCAGCTTTTTTCCTTTTTTTCTATTTATTTTATGTACAGTCTGTATACATTTATTGCACTGCATGTTTAGTATTGCAAATGTCCTGCGGAAATACTGAGTTTTCTGTTTCTTTGCTTGGCCCAGCAATCAGCAACTTTATAAAACCCTGTTCAGTCTCAGTAAATTAAACATTGGGTTGATTATTCTCATTGCTTGTCTTCCGTTTCTGTTGTTTTCCGGTTAAGTACAACAACTGTTACGATTCACGATACTTAGCTACTATGTTCGAGCAATAATAGTTTTTCTGGCTGAAATTATCCATCTTTATGTATTTAGTCCCTGTTTGGACGCAGTCCGAAAACGGGGACTTATGTTTTGACCTCCGTGTGCGCGTGCGTGCTTGCGTCTGTGCGTGCCTCCGAGCCTGTATCTAAGAAATGCCTGGATCAATCACAATCAAACTTCACACATACATCATACATGATATCATACATATGCACGTCAATTTGTTTCATGATCTGATTCAAGATGGCCGAATGGCGGCCATTTTTGTGCTAAAAAAATCATAAAAAGCAACCATTTCTCGACTGTTTACAGATGGATTTTGCTCAAACTTGGTATATACATTGGACATTATGGGACCTTGATGCAAATAATTTTGTTTTTCAGATAACATTCAAAATGGCAGACTGGCGGCCATTTTGTATTAATCAATGTGGTTCTCGTGCCATATCTCCAATACTAGTATATTGTTTTGACTGATTATGTTCAAATTTTAAATATTCATTATACATCATGTCATGGATGTATTAGTTTGACGATCCTATTCAAAATGGCTGAATGGTTGTCATTTTTGTACTAAAAAATCATCAAATATCAAGCATTTCTGGCATTTATGGATGGATTTCGTTCAAACTTGGTACATACACTAGACATTACGGGTTCCTGATGCCACGTCATTTTATTTTTCAGATCAGATTCAAAATGGCTGTCTGGCGGCCATTTTGTTTTAATAAATGGGTTTCCAGACCCATATGTCTGATTTGTTTTGTCTGATTATGTTCAAATTTTTAATATTCATTATACATCATGTCACAGATATACGGATATATTGGTATGATGATCTTTTTCAAAGTGTGCTATTTTTGTGCTAAAAAAATCCTCGAATATCAAGCATTTCTTGCATTTATTGATGGATTTCGTTCAAACTTATAACACATGTTAGACATTACAGGTTCCTGATGCACGTCATTTTATTTTCAGATTGGATTCAAAATAGCTGACTGGCCGCCAATTTATTTTAATGATTGGGCTTCTAGAGCCATATCTCTTAAATGCTTTGACTGATTATATTCAAATTTTATATATTAGTTATACATCATGTTATATATATATATGTATATGTATATGTATTCAAAATGGCTAATTTTGAATGTTCCAGAGCAATATCTCTCAATATGGACAAGTACTTGTTTGAGGATCTGATACAAATGTCAATCATTTTAATGTTAAACAAATAATCATATTCCTGACATGGTTATAGTCCAGCTATAGTACTATAAACATAACTATATATCTCAAATTTTATAACTAACGGGGACTGTGCCATGCATGGCTTGTTTTTTTAATCATCGATGTTGTCTGTTCAACACAATTGTGAACAATTCGAGACAACGGAGCAGTGTTCTCCCCAGGCCTCTGAAGCGACACGGTACCGTGACGCTTGGACACTCGGCCGTGATGCTTGCCCTTTGTCCGTGACGCTTGGTCACTGGCCCGTGATGCTTATTGCTTTGTTTACAAGTGTCAGTCTCGTCTTGCACGAATTTAAAACAATAACATGTATTGATCGAAAGGTAATCCCGCTCTTGTTAGCCATACAAAGACAGTGATAAAAACGGAAGTCTGCAATAAGTTGCGAAGTCTTTCAAGGATGCAGAGCCGGGGTGCAGAGCCTCCAAATCCAAACAAAAATACTAGAGT